CCCAGATGTGTTGGGTGCCCGTGCCCATGCCCAGGTGCTCCCATAGCTATGCCAGGTGCTGCACAGATGTTACACCTGCCCATGCCCAGGCGAGGTGTGCTGGGTGCCCATGCCCAGGTGCACCAGGTGCCCTGGAGGCGTGCCAGCTGCCCATGCCCAGGTGTGCCAGCTGGCCATGCCCAGGTGTGCCTGTTCCCAGGTGTTCTGGGTGCCTAGGTGTGCCAGCTGCCTGTGCCCAGTGTGCCGGTGCCGGGGTGTGCCCGTGCCCAGGTGTGCCGGGTACCCAGGTGTGCTGGGCGCCCAGGTGTGCCCGTGCCCAGGTGTGCCGGGTGCCCAGGTGTGCCCGTGCCCGGGTGTTCCGGGTGCCCAGGTGTGCTGGGTACCCAGGTGTGCCAGGTGCCCAGGTGTGCCGGGTTCCTGGGTGTTCCGGGTGCCCAGGTGTGCCGGGCGCCCAGGTGTGCCGGGTGCCCAGGTGTGCCGGGCGCCCAGGTGTGCCGGGTGCCCAGGTGTGCCGGGCGCCCAGGTGTGCCCGTGCCCGGGTGTGCCCGTGCCCGGGTGTTCCGGGTGCCCAGGTGTGCCTGGTTCCCGGGTGTGCCGGGTACCCAGGTGTGCTGGGCGCCCAGGTGTGCCGGGTACCCAGGTGTGCCGGGTGCCCAGGTGTGCCGGGCGCCCAGGTGTGCCCGCGCGCTGAGGCGGCCGCGCAGGTACTGCCGCCTGCGGGGCTGGAACACGCTGTTCGTGTGCGGCACGGACGAGTACGGCACGGCCACGGAGACGCGGGCGCTGCAGGAGGGGCTGAGCCCGCGGCAGCTCTGCGACCGCTACCACGCGCTGCACGCCGACGTCTACGCCTGGTTCCGCATCTCCTTCGACCACTTCGGCCGCACCACCACGCCCCAGCAGACCAGGTGAGCCCCTCCCTGTAGGTCAGGTGAGCTTCTCTGTGAGCCCCTCTGGGCCAGGTGAGCCCCTGTGGGTCAGGTGAACCCCTCTGGGCTAGGTGAGCCCCTCTGGGCCAGGTGAGCCCCTGCAGGCCAGGTGAACCCCTCTGGGCCAGGTGAACCCCTGTGGGCCAGGTGAGCTCCTCTGGGCCAGGTGAGCCCCTCCCTGTGGGTCAGGTGAACCCCTCTGGGCTAGGTGAGACCCTGCAGGCCAGGTGAGCCCCTGCAGGCCAGGTGAGCCCCACGTGCGCTGGGGTTCCCTGCTGTGGCCGACGTGGCCTCCCCTCCGTGCCCAGGATCGCCCAGGACATCTTCCAGCGCCTGCTGGCCCGGGGCTTCCTGCTGCAGGACACGCTGCAGCAGCTGCGCTGCGAGAGCTGCGGGCGCTACCTGGCCGACCGCTTCGTGGAGGGCACCTGCCCCGGCTGCGGCTACGCCGAGGCGCGCGGGGACCAGTGCGACAAGTGCGGCAAGCTGATCAACGCCGTGGAGCTGCAGGTGGGCCCGCCCCGGGCACCCCCGCTGCCCTCCCCTCCCCTGGGTGCGCTGCCCAGCTCACCCCAGCCTTCCCCTCCCTCCCCTCGCCCACCTGTGGGACCCGCGCTCCCTCAGAGCCCCCAGTGCAAGCTGTGCCGCGGGACCCCGGTGGTGACGCCCACCCAGCACCTCTTCCTGGACCTGCCCAAGGTGAGGAGCGCCCCTGGGGGGGGCAGCGAGGTGGGGTGGGGACCCCCGGGTAGCCCAGGTGTGCCCCCCGCGTGTCCCGCAGCTGGAGGGGCGGCTGCAGGCCTGGCTGGAGCGCAGCTGGGCCGCCGGCCACTGGACGGCCAACGCGCGGCACATCACGCGCACCTGGCTGCGGGACGGGCTCAAGCCGCGCTGCATCACCCGCGACCTCGCCTGGGGCACCCCCGTGCCCCTCGACGGCTTCCGTGACAAGGTGGGTCCCCCCCGGCCCCAGGTGGGACCCCCCGGCCCCAGGTGGGACCCCCCGGCCCTCCCCGCCGGGCTCACCTGCTCGGGCGTGGCCCTCGCCCAGGTGTTCTACGTGTGGTTCGACGCTCCCATCGGGTACCTGTCCATCACGGCCAACTACACGGAGCACTGGGAGCGCTGGTGGAAGAATCCCCAGCAGGTGCGAGGAGCCAGGCGAAGGCGCAGGTGAGGACAGAGCAGGACACTCGGCTGACATCTCTGTTACCTGCCAGGTGGAGCTCTACAACTTCATGGCCAAGGACAACGTCCCCTTCCACAGCGTCGTGTTCCCCTGCTCGCTGCTGGGCGCCGACGACAACTACACCCTGGTGAACCACCTCATCGCCACAGGTACGGCCCAGGTGGGGGGAGCCAGCCAGGAGGGGTCCCCAGGCTGGGAGGGGTCCCCAGGGGTGTGGGGAGCCCCCAGGTGTGGGGACCCCCAGGTGGGAGGGGTCTCCAGGTGTGGGGAGCCCCAGCCAGGAGGAGTCCCCCAGCTGAGAGAGGGCCCCAGGTGGGAGGGGTCCCCAAGTATGGGGAGCCCCAGGTGGGAGGGGTCCCCAGGTGTCTGGGGAGCCCCCAGGTGTGTGGGGAGCCCCCAGGTGGGAGGGGTTCCTAGGCTGGGAGGGGTCCCCAGGTGTGGGGAGCCCCATGTGGGAGGGGTCCCCCCCATGGTGGGTGCTCACCTGTCCCCAGAGTACCTGAACTACGAGGACGGGAAGTTCTCCAAGAGCCGGGGCGTGGGCGTGTTCGGGGACATGGCCAAGGACACCGGGATCCCGGCCGACGTCTGGCGCTTCTACCTGCTCTACCTGCGGCCCGAGGGCCAGGACAGCGCCTTCTCCTGGGCCGACCTCATGCTCAAGAACAACTCCGAGCTGCTCAACAACCTGGGCAACTTCATCAACAGGTGCGGGGACACCTGGGGAGAGGAGGGCTGGTCCACGGCTGTGCTCACACCTGTCCCTGGCGTGTGTGTGGGCTGTGATCACAACTGCACACCTGTCCTCAGGCTGTGCTCACACCTGTCCCCAGACTGTCCCTGGGCTGAGCTCACACCTGTCCCCATCCCACACCTGTCCCCAGCCTGTCTGTGGGCTTACTCAGACCTGTCCTCAGCCTGTCCCTGGGCTCTGCTCACACCTGTCCCCAAGGCTCTGCTCACACCTGTCCCGGGGCTGTGCTCGCACCTGTACACCTGTCCCCAGGCTGTGCTCACACCTGTCCCTGGCCTGTGATCACACCTGTCCCCCACCTGTCCCCAGGGCTGGCATGTTCGTGTGCAAGTTCTTCGGGGGCGCCGTGCCCGCCATGGTGCTGACAGCCGAGGACCGGCGGCTCCTGGCCCGGGTCACCCTGGAGATGCGCCAGTACCACCAGCTGATGGAGAAAGTCCAGTGGGTCGCGGGGGTCCCGAAGCCCGGGGAGGGGGCAGAGCGTGCCCTGCAGCTGCTCAGCCCCACCTGTGCCCCACCTGTGCCCCCCCAGCATCCGCGACGCGCTCCGCTGCGTGCTTAGCATCTCCCGCCACGGCAACCAGTACATCCAGGTGAACGAGCCCTGGAAGCGCATCAAGGGCGACGAGGGGGACAGGTAGGGATGGATGGGGCACTGGAGGGGGGCACAGCCACCACCTGAGGGGGTAGAGGGCGACTGGGGGCACAGGGGGTGCCAGGGAGGGGTCCCCACTCCTGGGGCTGGTCAGGGTGGAGCTGGCGCTGATGGGGGGCACAGGGCAGGGACGGGGTGAAGCCAGGAGCTGGGGGGACACCGAAAGGTCCCAGGGGGGTGTCCCTGATGGCCCAACCCACAGGGGACAGGGAGGGGGTGAGGTGGGACACGGGGGTCACAAGGGGCGCTGAGGTGTTGTCCCCTCAGGGAACACACAGGCACATGGCCTGGGCAGCAATGGACACGGGGGTCGCTGAGCAGGGAGGGGTCTCAGAGGGGTCACTGAGCAGGGAGGGGTCTCAGAGGGGTCACTGAAAAGGGAGGGAGTCCCAGAGGGGTCACTGAAAAGGGAGGGGGTCCCAGAGGGGTCACAGCGGTGCCACCGAGCAGGGAGGGGGTCTCAGAGGGGTCACAGCAGTGTCCCCGAGCCGTCCCCCCGCAGGCAGCGCGCAGGGACGGTGACCGGCGTCGCGGTGAACGTGGCGGCCGCTCTGGCCGCGCTGCTCCAGCCCTTCGTGCCCGGCGTCAGCGCCGCCATCCAGGCCCAGCTCCGCATCCCCCCGGAGCGCTGCGGCCTCGGGCCCGGCCTCACCTGCACCCTGCCCACTGGGCACCGCGTCGGCACGGTACGGCTGGGGCAGGCAGCCCGTGCCTCCGGGCGGGCCCTGCCTGGGTGGGATCCGCAGGTGCCGACCCCCAGGTGTGACCCCTCTGTCCCCGCTGCCGCCAGGTGAGCCCCCTGTTCCAGAAGCTGGAGCCTGAGCAGGTGGAAGCCCTGCGGCAGCGCTTCGGGGGAGGGCAGGTGAGCGGGGGCTCAGGTGCCCCCCACTTCAGGCACCTGCAGCCCCACCCTCTGCCCCTTCCCTCCCCAGTCTCAGTCCAAAGGTGTTGCTGTAGAGCCCCAGGTAACTCTGGGTGCTGCCCCAGGTGTGCTGCACCTGCCTGGAACAGGAGGGGGGCTTATCCCCATCTCTTCCTCTTACAGGCCAAACAGCCCCCCCCGGCCTCAGCCCCCCCTCCAGCCCCCAACACTTCTGCAGCTCCAGGTGACCCCAAAGTGATCCAGGAGCTGACAGAGCAGGTGGCCAAGCAGGTGAGGGCAGCACAGGGCATGGCATACACCCTGTCATGCCTTTTAAACCACCCCCCAAATCCTCATTGCACCCTCAAATCCTTCCTCCCCCCTTCTCCAGGGCAACCTGGTGAGGCAGCTGAAGGCTGCCCAGGTGGAGAAGGCCCAGGTGGACGCCCAGGTGGCCAAACTGCTGGAGCTGAAGCAGCAGCTGGCGCTGGCCGAAGGCCGGAGCCCCGAGGTCCCCAAGGGCAAGCGGAAGAAGTAGCTGCAGCACCCAGCCTGGGACACGCTGAGGAGCGGCCCCAGCGCCTCCAGCGACCACACTGGGCCACGCCGGCTGTGGTTACACGCGTGTAATAAACGGCAAGAGCTGTACAGTGGCGTGGAGAAGCTGCATCCACTTGTCTGTCCGCAGCGTCCATCTGTCCATGGGGCTGCCCCCGCAGTCCGTGGGGCAGCAGAGTCCTCGTAGCGCGGGGCAGGTCGGTGTCCCTACGCCCGGCGCAGGTTGACGATGCGGTCGATGAGCGCGGCGCGGGTGCGCTGCACCTCGGCGCTGAGCCGCTGGATCTCGGCGCGGAGCCGCTCGTTGTGCGCCGTCAGCTCCCGCACCCGCCGCTCCCCGTCCCGCTGCCGCGGGGCCGCGGGGCCGCCGCGCCGCTTCCTCCGCGCCCCCCGCGCCTTCTCCTCCTCCTCCTCATCCTCCTCTTCCGCCTCCTCGGCGGGGCCCGGCCGGGCCGCGCCGCTCCCGCCGGGGGCCGCGGGTTCCGCCGGAGCCGCTGCCTCCGGCCCCAGCAGCTCCAGCAGCTCCTCGGCCAGAGCCAGGTCCAGCCCGCAGCCCCCCGGGCCCGGCTCCGCCTGCGGAGAGCGGAACCGGCACCGGTGATGGAGGGACGCGCCCCGGAACCGGGACCGGTGATGGAGGAGGGACCCGCCCCGGGGGCGCCGAACCGGGACCGGTGATGGAGGGGGGACCCCGCCCCGCGCCCCGAACCGGGACCGGTGATGGAGGGACCCGCCCCGGGGGCGCTGAACCGGGACCGGTGATGGAGGGACCCGCCCCGCGCCCCGAACCGGGACCGGTGATGGAGGGACCCAGCCCCGCGCCCCGAACCGGGACCGGTGATGGAGGGGGGACCCCGCCCCGCGCCCCGAACCGGGACCGGTGATGGAGGGACCCGCCCCGCGCCCGCCGCCCCGGGGGCGCCACCGGCCCCGCGCTCACCTGCTCGGGCCCCCAGGTGGGGGCGGTCCCGGGGGGCTCCGCCGCCAGCACCTCCTGCAGGTCCTGGTACCACCCCTCCAGCTCCCAGCCGGGGGGGCCGCCCGGCCCCCACAGCCCCTCGGCCGCCATTGTCACCTTGGGCCCGGCGCGGCTGCGGAGGGACGGGAGGGAGTGAGGGGTGACCCGGCGGGAGCCGCGGCGCCCGGGCCGGCCCCGGGACCCAACGGCGGTGTGCGTAGGGCGGGGGCTGTGCCCTTACCTGCTCTCAGGTGTGGTGGTCGGCGAGGACGCACTTTCTCCTGGATGCCTGGGGAGGGACGGGGTGCTGTTAGGATCGGTGACCCCGGGGCGCGGAGTTCGCCGGGGCTCGGCGCCGCCGTCCCGCGGAGACGGCTCCGGGCGCTCCGGTTCCTCTCCCGGAACGGAGCGGGACCGCTCCGCCAGCGCTCCCCGCGCCCCTCGGGGCTGTCCCCGGCCGCCCCACGCCCTCCCCGCACCTTTCTGGGTGGTCCCGGCTCCCCCCGACCCCGCTCCGCTCGCTGCCCCCGGCTCATCCTCGTCCGCATCGTCCCGCGCTGCGCCCTGGCCCCCGCGCCGCGCCGCTTTAAGGGCGGCCTGACGCAACGCTCGCGCCGGCGACAGCCAATGGGCGCGCGAGAACCGTGACTGGCGGGGCAGCGCCAACCAATGGGAGCGCGGCGGGGGCGGGACGAGCGGCACCGCCCGGCGCGAGGGAGGGGCGCGCGGGGGGAGTCACGCGGGGATGATGCAATGGCGGGAAATGGGCCACGCCCCCAGGCGCGCGTGGGGCGAGGGGCGGGGCCTGCGGGAATGGGCGGGGCCACGGGAGGGGGCGGGGCTCCGGTGGCACCGGGGCCGGTTTCTCGCCCGGGATTAACGGGAGCAGGGGCGGGACGGGGCCTCACCCCACCCTCACTGCACGTGGGGGTACCGGGGAAACCGCGGGAGCCCATGGCACTTGTGCGGCAAAACCGGTGCCGTGGGGGCGCTCCGGCTGTGCGGGTGGGGCTGCAGGACCCGTGTGAGGGGCCTGGGGGACACACCTGGGACCCCTGGGGGACACACCTGGGACCCCTGGGGGACACACCTGGGACCCCTGGGGACACACCTGGGACCCCTCCCCTGTCTGCGGGGCCCAGCTGCCCTCCAGCCCCTCGTCCCTGTGGGGGTGTCCCCCCCAGTCCCAGCAGTGCCCACCCCCAGTTTGGGGGGCCCCACTCCTGCCCCCATCCGAGATGCCGACACACACACGGAGAGCTGAGCCGTTTATTGGGGTACGGGGGGACCACAGACCCATAGGTGGGGATGGAGCAGGGGGACAGGGAGGACCCCCGTGGGGACGGGAACAGAGGCTGAGCTGGGGGGCCGAGCCAGGGTATTTACAAGCAGCAGCTGGGACCTGCGGGGGGGTCACAGAGCCCAGGGGGGCGTGGGGAGGGGGCGCAGGGACGTCCTCAGGGGACCCCCAGGAGCTGTCCTGGGGTCTTGTCACTTCTGCAGCCGCTTGATGCGGGCATCGATGTCGGCAAAGTTGTCCTCGACGATGGCCAGGTTGTCCTTCATTGTCTTCTGAACCTGGGGGGGCAGGCGGGGTTGGGGTGATGGGGGACAGTGGGGATGGGGTGAGGGGGGACAATGGGGATGGGGTGAGGGGGGATAGTGGGGATGGGGTGAGGGGGGATAGTGGGGATGGGGTGATGGGGCCGGTGGGGAAGGGGAGGTGGGGTGGATGGGGTGATGGGGACAGTTGGGGGCCAGGGGGACCCACCTCGGCCAACAGCACCGTGTTGTCCTTGAGAGCCCCTGCGATCTCCTGCTGCGTTGTGTCAAGGTGCACCAGCACCTGCCCGAACTGGGTGGCTGGAAGGGGACACACCTGAGTGCTGGGGAGGGCAGTGACCCCCACCTGGTGTCCCGCAGCCCCTCGGGCCCTCACCTTGCTCGTGCAGGTCCCTCAGGGTCACCAAGCGATGCACCACGTCGGGCAGGGCGCTGGCCACGGCGTCCCAGCTCTGCAGCGTCTCGTACAGCTGGTGGATCTGGGGGGCAGCAGTTGGGGGGTCAGCGCAGCCTGGGGGGGCTTTTCTGGATCCCCTCATGGCCTCTGGGCCCCACAGCCATACCTTGCTCTGTGTGTCAGCGTCCTGCACCGTGGCCTTGTGCTTGGCGATCTCGTTCACCTTCCCCAGGACGCTCTGGTGCGGGGGGAGAAAGAAACCCCAAATCCAGCAGAGCGCCCCAAACCCAGTAATGTCTCTGTGTTTCAGCAGTGCCCCCTAATTTCAGCAGTGCCCCCCAGCTCCCCTCACCTGCAGCCGAGCCTCCACCTGGTCCAGCACAGCCACATCCAGAACGTTCACCTTGGCCTGCAGCACCTGCACCGTGTCCTGGGGAGGGGGCAGGGGGGCAGGTGAGGGGGGCACAGCAGCCCCCCAAAGCACTGGGGGCAGGGGGGGACAGCGGCTCCCCCAAAGCCTGACTCACCATGAGACTGGAGCCCTTCAGCCCCACCAGCAGTGGGTTCTGTGGGGGGAAATGGTGTCAGTGGGGCAGGAGGGGGCACATAAAGGACGGGGTAGGAAAGTGGCAGAGGGAGGCAGGGCAGCCCCCCTCAGCCCCCCTCACCTGGGCACTCACCTGGCTGTCAGGCTCACACCTCATGGCCGCCTCCAGCAGTGCCAGACGCTTCTCCAGCTCTGACACCTGTGAGGTTTGGGGTGAGCAGGGCTGGCTCCCAGGTGCGGTGGCCCGCCCCAGGATGCCCCTGTGGGACCAGCAGCCCCCCACTCACCTTGGCAGACTGGGCAAACTGGTCCTGCTCCGGCCTCCAGTAGAGCTCGAAGGTGACGGCGTCGCCGGCAGGGGCCGGGGCCCGCGCGGGGCCCTTCCCCGGCGTGGCTTTGCTGCACTTGGCCACCTCCAGCTGCTGCAGCAGCCGCCTGGGACGGCCAGGAGGGGACAAGGTGGGCACAGGGACAAAGCAGGAAGGGGACAAGCTGGGCAGGGTCCCTGTCCCAGCCCCACGGGGACGCCACCGTGCCCCCCTGGGGTCGCGTCCCCCACTCACTTGGCCAGGGCACCCTCGGGATCAGCGAAGTCGACGGCGGCACCAGGGCCCAGAACCTTCTCCAGGTGGGAGCCGAGCAGCTGCTGCTTCAGCACCTCCACCTGCCTGGCCAGGGCCATGGGCGTGAGCTCCTCCTCAGCCCCTGACTCCTTCACTGAGCTCTGGGGACACACAGGGGCCGTGTCACCCCTGGACACACCCTGGGACAGGTGGGGGCTCACCTGGGACAGGTGGGGGCTCACCTGCACACACAGCTGCTATGTCACCCCAAAGCCCTGCCCCAGGACAGGTGGGAGCTCACCTGGATCTGCTCCACATCCCGGAGCAGCTCCTGCACCTCATGCTGCAACCGCTGGAATCGCTGCTGCGGCGTCTCCTTGGCACCAAGACCCTCACCCAGCTGTGGGAGAAATGGGTCGGGGGGCTCATGGGGGGCCAGGGGGCTCGCACAGGGTCAGGGGAGCTCATGGGATGGTGGAGGGGCCATGGTGGTTCAGGGGGTCTCACGGAGTGCTCAGGGATCTCACAGAGTTCAGGGGTCTCAGAGGGGTCTGGGGTCTCACAGGGGCTCAGGGGGCTCACAGGTGCTGGCAGCACCTGGCACCAAGCAGAAGGAGCAGGGACAGGTCAGAGCAGCCTCAGGTGACAGAACCTCAGGTGGCACCTATAGGGAACCTGACATGGTCAGCAGGGCAGGGCAGGAGCAGTGCAGGGGAGTCCTGAACCCACAGGGAGAGGGGCTGCACTGGAGCTCATCTTCATCCTCACAGAACTCCTCATCTTCATCCTCAGAGCTCCCCACCTGCATCCTCATGAAGCTCATCTTCACCCCCATGGAACTCCTCCTCCTCACCCTCAAGAAGCTCCTCATCACCATCCCCATGGATCTCCTCATCTTAGTGCCCACAGAGCTCCTCTTCCTCCTAACCCAGAGCTCTGAAGCTGTGGGGTGGTTCTGGGTGGTGGCATGCTCCCCATGGAATGTGGGGGTTTCCTGATCTTTGCCCAAATCCAGCTGTTCCCAGAGCAAACCTGAGCTGGGCTGGTGTGGGGTGTGATGGCCCAGCCCGACAGGCCACAGTGACCAGGCCAGGGGACACAGATGTCACCCCCTCTGAGCAGGCCAAGCAGCCAGGTGACCCTCAGCTACCTTCTCCCCTTTGGCGCTGGGTGACAGGGACTGCAGCCCACCCTGTGAGGGTCCTGAGGGATGAGGAGCCAGGACAGCCCAGGGAATTGGGGTGACAGAACTTCAGAGTCAGTGAGGGGACAGGCAGGCCCCAGCACCAGGACACGGTGGGGGATACCCAGGAAAGGTCTGGGGGTCCTGGGGGACACCCAGCTGAACACAAGCCAGGCAGGATTATCCTGGGACCCCCGGGTCCATCCCCAGATCCACCCTGGGACCCCCCGGTCCATCCAGGACTTGGTGACCAGTGCTCTCCTGAGCACCCTCGGGGGTCTGTGGTCGGGTCAGGGCTCCCAGCGTGGCAGACTGGGACGGACTGGGCAGAGAGCAGCACGGCGCTGCCACGGTGGAGCTGGCACACGGCTCCTGTGAGGCACGGCCAGGGGCTGCAGCAGGCGACCCCGGGGGTCCCATGGGACCTGGGGCACGCAGGGGTGTCCCCAGCGCTGCGTGGGGAGGAGGGTGCCCCTTGCCCACTCACCATCTCATACTCCCCAGCCTCGTAACCCGTGGTCCGCGTCCGGCCGATGCGGTCAGAGAAATCTGGAGGAGGCAGAGCCGGGTGTGACCCCGCACGGCCCGGGGGGCTCAGTGCCCCGGTGGTCCCCTGGCTCATCCCCGGCCCCCCCAGCTCACCCACACCCTCGGTGCCCAGGCGCTTGTCCCGGAACTTCTCGTAGGCAGCGTTGGGGTTGATGATCAGGTGCTCCACGCTGGTGCTGCTCAGCTCCTCCTGCACACAGAGCCACGTCAGGGACAGGGACAGGGACAGGGTGCTCCCACACTGCCACCACCTCCCCCAGCACGACAGGGATGGGGACAAGGGAGCCCCAGGGCTGCCACCACCCCCAGCACATGGCACAGGCAGGGCTGGGCGCGCTGGCCTGGGCCTCCCCAGGACACAGGCACAGGCCCCCAGTGTGGCCCAGAGAGGGCTCTGCTGGCACTGATGTGGCGCGTCCCCAAGGGTCCAGGGTGGGGACATCACAGCCCCGACTGGCCTGGCCCGGGGGGAGGTACCCTCAAGAGTCTGGAGTGGGGACTTTGGACCCCTGGCACAGTGTGGGGACACCAGACCCCAGCTTGGCCCAGCGTGCTGACACTGGACCCCGGTCTGGCCAGACCAGCAGGCAGGGGCCCCCCAAAGACGTGCTGGGACTCTGGGCCCCTGGCCTGGCCCAGCTCAGGTTCAGCCTATCCCAAACCGTGGAACGTTCCAGCAGCCCCTGGCCAGGACCAGGAGCCATCGCTGGTCCCTCCAGGGTGACCCCTGTCCCTGTGGGACTGTCACTGTCCCCCAGCTGTGTTTTGGCAGGACAACCTCCTCCCCAGGGTGGCCCCCTGGGCTGTCACTGCCCTCTGGCTGCCTTTCGGGCTGATCCCCCCAGGGGGGCAGCGGGGGGCACAGGCCCCCAGACCCCCAGACCAGGGGCCATGCCCTGTGCCGGGCAGGGTGGGCACGGC